CCAATAAGTGATAGTTGACTTGTTTGCTCATGAAATCCAGCAACGATCATGTTTGATGTAATGTGTATTTTGAGTGGCTCATACTGGAGTAAATTCACGAGCAAATTGCATCTTGAGGGCACACAATGTTAATGAACTATTTATGGATGAAAAGGTTTGTGTTGGTAACTCACTCCGTGGCTTCAAAATAACGGAAAATAATGAAAGAACCTGTGGTGCTATTACATGAAGTGTGTGGTAGTTGAAACCTCGGGGAGATGTCGAGAAGAAAAATTCCAAGGAATCCCAACGTGCGAAACCTCTGTTTAGAGGTTCACGACTTGTGCTAAACCTCATCAGCCTTGTTATTTACTCTGGAAAATTGCATGAGATTGTTGTTTTTATGTTGAAATTGTCTGTAGTTTGTGTATTGACTTTTATTGCCAGTGTATCGTTTGTAACACTCGTGCAGTACGTTTTCAAATAAACAAATAAACAAAAAAAATCAATTTGTTTGAATTGCCTAACTGAACGGGACCAATCACTGATCAAGCATTGAAATTTACTGTCGAAATTTTCTCAAACTTCCCAAGGTATTCATTGAAAATTGACGAAGATGATGAATCCAGATTGTGAGGAAGGTTGGTAGAATGAATTTATTTTGGGAGATTCTGCCCATTGGTGTGAAATCAATTGTCATCTTCGGACTATGTAATAATTTACCTGGTGATAATATTACTGACTGTATTAATGCACAAATGATTCACTGGGATCCAAAAGAGAGTTTTGACTAAGTTTGCTATTTCAGCCGTCCGGATTTGTCATCCATATCTGGGAGATTTCACGGGAACAACAGCGACCGACGAGGTATGTTGAGCAAGGTGATGCCACTATATAACACAACAAGGTTTTGCGTGATTACGGCCCTAACGAATCTTATCGAATTCCGTGTACTTGAAAAGCTTCTCATTGTACAAAAATGATGACAAAAGCTTTCCACGAATATCTAGTGGTCCGCGGTAGTGTAATGTGCTTGGGATACGGTTGGTCGCTAGGTGGTCCCAAGAATGACAACACAATGCACACATGCGGAAAACCAATAATAATAATAATAATAACCGGAGGTTTCGAGTGAATGCGGGCGTACGCAGTCACTCTGCGTAAAATGACAAAATAGTAGAAGTTAAGCAGAAGGAATAATGAAATGAGAACAACAAATGATAAAAGTGGGGGATTCGATCCCATTGTGTGTTAGAATACTTTGTTTGTGGAACAAATGAAGCAAATGAACTGTAAAGCTAGAAAACACTGTTTTGACTTGACTTATTCTCATCGACCATTGACTGGGGTTTCATAATCCTATACACTATATTTCATCGCTTCTATATTCCTTTTCACCAAACTGCAAACTTTAGCTTAAACGTTTTTTAATAAGAACTTGTTATCAAATAATATATCAAAAAGCCTATCATATTTTCTCTTATAGCAACTGCGTTTTTTCCTGGTGCAAATCTATTACACGTGTGCGCACACATGAAAAGGTCACTGTGGTTTTTTTTTGTCAGGTGCTTCTGTTGTTTGAGCGGTGAGAAAAATACCATCGGTCCCACATGCTTTCTGCCAGATAGTAGTTTTTCACCGCGAGTGGAACTGTCATGATGCTGTTCCGGTTTGTGCACACGCTCGCGCTCGCCGAATTTACGTCTCCGGCAGTTCTTCACATTCGGCTGAAAACTGTACAGTTTCATCAGTTTCAGACTGCACTTGTTGTTCCCTTTGCCAATCACAACCTTTTCGGCTTTCATTGGTTTGCGCTTCAACTGACAAATTCGGGCAAATTGGTGAAACTGTCCGATAGGCGAGCTTCGCATCAACTTCATTGCACAGTTGATTTTGCCAAATACATCGTACACAAGATCAAACATTCGTAAATGAATGGCAGAAAACTCAACTCAGAAACTGGTCTCATTCACAAAGTTTCAGCCTGACGGGAATAGCGTTGTAACTTCGAACTGTGAGTGGTGTGATCTACTGATAGAATTAAACAGCGCAATCAGGATTGTAAACCAGAGATTTTCCGGGGCGAATAAAAGCAATTCAACTCATTCCGATTCATGTCTATTTGTTTGAAACACCCTAATCACGTGCAGGCTGCATACACGACCATTTCTGCCGTACACCCAAGGTGTCCGTGTGTAAGTGATGGCTAACTCTGTTGACCAAGCATTGAAAATCGGTTCTCTTAGCTCGGGTGAACTGAATTCCATTGCGCCTGTTCACCGAGCTTGGTAATTTGTTTGCAAACGTTTCCTTATCACCAGCCGAGGTGACATCATCAATGCTCGTGAACTGGCAGTGTTCTGCTTGTACCCGTTCGTTTATGCATGTGTTCTTCTCCACCGACTATTTTCGGCCCCTGTTCTCACTGTGTTCGACTCGGTTCGTCGTTGAACTGGTACGAGGGGGTGAGGAGAAGAGAGGAAGGGGTTGTTCTTCCGTCCTGATTGCGGTTACGATCTGTTCTCAGGTCACGGCGTGACCTGTTTTTGTTACCTCATTTGGTCCTTGAGTTGCATTGGAGTGTACACGTGATCCAGTTCGATGTGTCTGTTTATTCAGTGAACTGGAGAGTTCCAAGCCTCGAGAAATTCTCTGGCGTGTTTTCACCGAGCCTAGTGGATAATTTTCATCATTCGAGGTCAAACTGATGTCCTTCATGATCTTCGTGGCGGGAAATCAACGAGTTGTTCATGTCTCCTAACTGCCGATTGGTGTTCACGGATC